GGGTGTGTGCGGGAGTGGCGGACGCTTGATTTTTTGGTCGATTGACGGCGGAACGGTGTCGGCCTTTGCACAATCACCATCAAGCAGATCCAAACACAGGGGGACGGACGAATCAGGGACCGAGAGCGAAGCAAGGCGTTATGGTCGCCGAAGGTGTGGCTGTTCCGACGGCTGCTGTCGGGGTTCTGTTGGTTTTCTGGCGGCCAGGTGGCCGGGGTCCATCTGACTGCTGTGAATGCTCGCATTATGCTGTAGGATGCCCGGGGGACCTGCGGCACGCCCACCGTCTGCGGTAGGCACGATGCAGCCATCAAGGGCGACGTTCAGCGCCACCTTGAAGCCGCAGGACGCGTCGGGGCGCCAGTCGGTCGGGTGCGTGCGCAGCAGCTGCAGGCCGAGCGCGGCTGGATTGAGCGGCGGCGACGCCGCGCCCATAGCCGTTCGGGGCGGTCGGCGCAGCGGATGTGGAGTATATCGTTGTAACGGTTTTGAAGAATGCGAAACGGCTTGAAAAAAGCATGCGCAAGTGTCTCGAGCGGCAGATCAAACTGGTTGAGGTAAATAGGCCACCACTAGCATCATGTATGTAATTTGTCGTTTCGGAGCGACAGCGCCGTGGTAGATCAACCTTCCCGGTGCGCACCACTAACTTCTGCTGCCGGCGCTGCGGCGTGTGCAGCATTGACTTGAGCACATTTCTCAGTACACATGGCATGGCTGGCGTCATAATTCGAAGTTCTGCAGGTTGTGCTTCAGGTGGTGTCAAGCCACAAGGGTGCTTGGTCGCCCCGACCGGTTGACCGACGCATGTCACTGCATTGGTGAGACTAGCTTGCGACCCCGAACGGGTGCGGCTGTACAGGGCACGGCACACGGTGCACAACTTGACATTCACAGACATCTGTGACGTGTTACAGTCCCTGACGCACTTCTGGCACGTGACCTGCTCGGCTGGGTATGTTAGGTAGCACCCAGCACATGCGGGCGTGCAAACTCGCGCGGCGAGCAAGCAGAGGGAGCACTGATATGATAACAATAGCGCACGGCGTGCTGCGACGGCGCCGGCCGAACTGCAGCGTTTGGGTCCTGGCGGCCCAGGATTGGGCACGGCCCTGGATCCAAAAGGCTCGTGGGAGCGCGTTGGGGCGGTGACATCACCGCGGGGTGGCCCTGGCTGTGGGCGTCACCAGGACCGCGGTGATGTCACCCCAGATGCGGGCGCCTGTGAGGCGCTCTCACGGAGCCCAAATGCCAGCTGAGTTGCCCACCAATCACTCGGCCGCGCTTCAACAGACCCTAGGGGGTTGATGCCGCCGCCAACCGACACGGCCCTCCAGACTTCACCCCCATCTCAGCGCTCCTGCCCTGTTTGCCTCCTCCCTGCTTGTCTACATCAAAAGAAAGTAGCCACGTGGCATGGCCCTGCTGGCCATCTGCGATGCTGCAAGAAGCTTCCTACCCCGCAGTTTCCCTCGACGTATACTGCCGCATGCGGGACGGGCCCGTGGGCCGTGCCTGGCCAATGGATTCACCGGCTGGGCTGGTGAGGGGCTGCAGTGGCCGGTGGCCAGCCTGGCACTCTGCTTGGAGTGATGTGCGTGTTACCGGTTGTGATTCGACTTCCGCGCAAAAGAGATGCATGGTATCGGCTGTCGGAGCATCAAAAGTCGGCGGTGCGGGTGGGGTGCGAAAAAGGTAGTGGCGGCGCCCGGAGAAAAGATGCGCCGGTCGGCGCGCGCGGGGCACGCGCGGCGGCGTGGGGGCCTTCCTGTTTCGGCTGCGGAGCAAAGAAGCGGAGTCAAAGGAATTGTTCTCGGGTGGGGCGCCGCGGCCGCTCATCGGCGCGCGCGCGCGCGCGCGCCGCAAAAAGAGAGCTGCGTTTAGATGGGCGGCGCAGCTGGGGCGCTTGCACGCGCGACCGCGACGGTCGTGCTGGCCCCGGGTGGAGCCTCGGAAAACTGGTCACAAACACAACACACACCCACATGCAAAAACACACACACATGCACATAACCCAGAAGGATACATAGGGCTGGATGTGGCCACATGGCCACACAGCACGGGAGCCCAGCTTCCCCTTTCCAGGCCCCACCCCTGTACCGACCGCGCCCCTGCAATGGATGGCCGCTCAATTGGCAGGCTCAATCAAAGGGGTAGCGGGCAGGCGCACGCCGGCCTGGCCAGAGGGCGCGGGCACGAGCGCTGGCGTTTTCAAGGTCAACACCGGCCCCTTGGGCACGGACAAGCGCGGGCCGGGGGCGCTGCCGCGTGCCCAGCCCTTGCTGCTGGGGCCGCCGCCGCTGCCATGCAAGGGGGGGGGGCGGAGGCGGGCGGCGACAGCGCAACCCCTGAAGCGCCGGGACGTGCACTTTCGAGGAGCCGCGTCGCCGGCCGGCGCCCGGGCGTGGCGGCGGCGGCGACGGCGGCGGCGGCGGCGGCGCTTGCGGCGGCGGCGGTGGCGCGCTGTAGGTGTGGTGGGCTCGCCGTGGCCCGGCCCCGAGTGAATGAGGGGCTGTGGGAATTGGCTCGAGGACGGGCGCTGGGGCTGCCCATGAAACGCATGCGACGCTCGCGCCCCGGCCCCATGTCTGCAGTCTGCGGCATTTGCAAGGTTATGTAATGTAAGGTAAGGCGGCTCTCTGGTATGAAAACCGATCGAGGCTTGCGGCGGGCCGGGGTGGGGTTTTGGCTCGCCTCGCCGGCGCCGCCATGCGGGCGGCCGCCTCCCGCCTGCGCTCCATTCAATCGCGGGGCCCGGCGGTGTTTTTCGGCTCGCTCGCTTGCTTTGAACAGATTGCTCCTCCGCTGCAGGGAGCGCAGCGTGTCGCGTTGAGGCGCCGCGGCGGCCGCGTGAGCGCTGAACGGCGCGCCGCTGCGACGCCGGGCGCGGGGACGCAGGCGGCCCGAAGCCGGCGTGCGCCGAGGGGCCCGGCGCACGCGCACAGGCGCGGCGCGGCCCTCGCGCACGCCAGCCTTCCAGATCAGATCAGATCGGATCAGATCAACGAGATCGGATCGAATCGTGCCAGATCACGGCGACTTCAGGAAATAGTCCAAAAACTCGCCAACGCCGTCATCGCCGCCGCCGCCGTTGCCGCTGCCGCCGCCGACGCCGGCGTGCCCGGGGCCGGTACCCACGCCGGGCCCCGCGGGCGCCGCAGCCAGGCCCCCAAATGGATCGTCAAACATGCCCGCAAATTCGCTGGTCTCCATAGGCACGGCGCCCCCGCCCGCCGTCACCCCTGCGCCAGCACCTGCGCCGCGCTGCTGCCGCACCGGTGCCGGCGGCGGCATCGCGCCCCGCGCGGCGGCGCCGCCGGCGCCGGGCGGCAGCGCGGCGGCCGGCGGTGCTGCTGCATGCGGAGGGTACGCGCCGGGCGGGTGCATGCCCATTGACATTGCCATGCCTATCATCGAGAACATCTGGGACGGGTCCGGCGGCGCCATGCCCGGCGGCGGCACCATGGGCATGCCCGGCACGCCCATCGGCATGCCAGGGGGCGCCATGCCGGGCGGCATGCCCATGGGGCCCATCCCGCCCATCATCGGCGGCGCCATGCCAGGCATGCCTGCGGAAGGTGAAGAGGCAGCAGGCGCATGGAATCCAGATTCGAAACAAACAGCTTTCAGCAGTAAATCAAGCGGCGCACGCCCAGCCCACGTGAGATCAGATCACCAGATCACCCCATGAGCTCACCCATCGCCATCGGGCCCATGCCCATCATCATCGGATTCATGCCCATGGGACCCCCCATGGGCATGCCAGGCATGCCTGGCGGCATCATGCCCGGCGGCCCCATCACCGCCGCCGGCGCCGGCGCCGGCACCGGGGCCGGCGCGGGCGCGGGCGCGGGTGCTTGCGCCACGGGCGCGGGCGCGGGCGCGGGTGCAGGCGCCGGCTGCTGCTGTGGCGGCGCCAGCGATGGCGCGGGCGCGGGCTTGGGCGCGGCGCCCATGTCCTCGGCCTCCTGTTTTGTGACAGGGGCCGGCTGCTGCTGCTGCTGCTGCTGCGGCTCCGGAGGCTGCTGCTGCTGCTCGGGGCCCGCCGCGTCGGGCTTTGCGCCGCCGCCGCTGCCGCCGACGTCCCCAGCGCCGTCGCCGCCGGAATGGACCCCCTGCACGCATTGCAATGCGAAGAGGCCTCGGTGTCGAGCCGCAACAAACATCTCAGGGTGACGCATGCCCCACGGCTGGCCGACAGGGCAGCGCTGCCTGACTGCAGCCCCCGCGCCATGAGACCTGCCTGCCTTTCCCCGATCTCGGCGCCCCGCCCGCCCGACGTACAAAGAGCGGCCTGACAACCCGTCCCACGAGCAGCCGGCTCCACCCCCGTGCCCGAGAATGGTCCAAACACCCTGCCGCCCGGGCTCGCCCCTCCGACACGCAGACAACCCCCAATCGCCCTCGCAGCTGGCCCGGTGGCCCCTGCAAGCTGTCCACCCCGCCGCCCCGAACCGCCACGCCCCACCGACCCACCCCGCCACAACCCAAACCGCCCTCAGGTGCGCTCAGCTACCCTCAGCCGCGTTTGATTGTCCTCAATCGCCCTCAATTGCCCTCTAACGCGCCCAACCGCCCACTCAACGGCCGCCAACCGCCCCCAACCGCCGCCCACCTGGACCCTCCTGAGGTACAGCCTGTACTTCTGCAGGTGGCTGGCCACGTTCTCGCGGGTGAGACCCTCAACATTCATCAACTCAAGGATCTTCTTGGGGGCCGCCTCTGCGTATTCCGATCCGGTGTTGGCAGATGCGGCGTGCGTTGAGATTTGCGGATGGCAGAGCACCTTTTGCGACAGCGGGGAGCGGCAGGGCTTGAGTTGTGCGACCAACCCCCAACCACGAACCCGCTCACCAAACACACGCACGCGCCGACACGCGGACGCGCGCGCGCACACGCACACGCACACGCACACACACACACACACACACACACACGCGCAGGCACGCACACTCTCTCACTAAACACACTCATAAAACACACATGCTCACTCTCTCGTTCCCCCCACACGCACCCACACAACAGCCCCAAGGGTTCACTCTCTATGCCGAGCTGGTTGACCGCCGCCACACACACGCTCACGCTCGGCCCCTCCTCCGCACCCCCGCACACAAACACACGCGCACATACTGCCCCCTCCTGCTCACTCTCAATCCCGAGCTGGTTGACCGCCGCCACAAACTGCTGGTGCATCTCCACGCTCCACACGACCCGCGGCTTCTTGGAGCTGCTGCCCTCCTCGTCGCGCTGTGGGGTGGGGCCGGCACACACACGCCGCGGCAGACGAGGGCGGGAGTGGCCAAGGTCAGGCCGGGGGGAGGTGAGGCACACAGCCCGGCAAAGCCGCCGCTGCCTTCCATTCAACACCTTCTGGCGCCGGCCCCCTGGGAGCTCGCCTCCTCTCCCTTGACGCATGGGCGCCCCGAGCCCCCAAACCAGGGCGGCGAGGGGCCGAGGGTCCGCGGGCGGCGGCGCGCGCACCTCCCCGCCGGACGTGCTGCCCCCCTCCTTCCGCTTCCGCGAGTTGTTTTCAGAATCCATAGTGCCGTCCCCGTCGGCGTCCTTTTCGCTGTGGGACTGTGAGCCGCGGGGGGGCGCGCGGGCGGGCAGCGGGCAGGCAGGTGGGCGCGGGTGTGTGCGCGTGAGCGCGAGGGGCAAGGGCGGAAGGGAGCGCCTCGCCGGGGGCCGCGCATGGGCCGGCACACGCACGAGAACACGGCTGCTCAGCCCTGCGCAGGCAGGAGGCCCCGTCCATGTCAGCAAGGTCGTTCCAGATCAGACCCGACCAGCGCGGCCGCGGCCGCGCCGCGCGGCTGCTTCGGCGGCGGCGGCGCGCCCTCGCGGCCCGCACCAGCGACTTTTGCCGCCGCACGACGTGCTGCCAGATGTTGCGCAGCTCCTCTATCCTGACCGGCTTAATAAGGAAGTCGCAGGCGCCGTGGGTGACGCCGCGCAGGACGGTGGTGTGCTCCCCGTTGGATGACATCACTGCCGGGGGCGCCGCGGGGCGGGTCGTCGTGCGTGAGCGCGGCGGGGGTTTACGGGGTGTTGCACGGCCTTGTTTGGAGGCGACGCTGGCGGGAGAGCCCGCCAGCGGGCCCACGCTTGCTGTCGAGGGGCGCGCAGGGGCGCTGGTGTCGTGCTTCAAGGTGTGGGGAGCAGGCCGGGCGGCGATGCCGCCGAGCCACGAGACACCCCTGGCTCGCGCCCTGCCCCGCTTTTACGCGAGCTGCGGCGTCGGGGCGGCGGCGCTGCCCCCTCTGCCGCCCGGCCGCCGCCGCCCCTGCCAGCAGTCGCACAGCGGCATTTTGCTTGCCGGTGGCAGCTGCCGGCCCCTTGAAAGCGCAATGTGGCCTGGGTGTGAACCCTGGTACACACAAATATCCACACACAAACACACACACACACACACACACACACACACACACACACACACACACACACACACACACACAC